ATCTGTGGAGTATTTTGAGCTGAAACTTCACAGACACATTCTGGGGACACCAGAGACTTATATTACAAATTGTAAAAAGGGGCATAATATTGTTCTTTTATATATATAAACATATAATCCTTTAATATATAAACATAACATATTTTTCTTAAATATATACATGCATGTGTTTGTATTTATATATACATAATAAATATACACCGTATACACACATATTATGTAAACAAAAACTTTTATTTTGGATGCGATTAATTGTTTGACAGCACTAATTATTATGTAAGAAATTAATACTTCTATATTCAACAAGAATGCATTCAATTGATCAAAAGTGACAGTAAAGACATTATTAATTCTACAAAAGGTTTATAATTAAAATAAATGCTGTTCTTTTGAACTTTGAAAAATCCTGAAAAAAAATCATGATTTCTACAAAAATATTTAGCAGCACAACTGTTTTTAACATTGATAATATTGATAAATGTTTCTTGAGAACCAAATCAGCATATTAGAATGATTTAAGAATGATCATGTGACACTTAAAACAAAAGTATGAATGACTATACTGAAAATTCAGGTCTGTCATCACAGGAATAAAATTACATTTTGAAATATATATACACAAATATTTGAAATTGTATTCATATTTCACAATATTGCTGTATTTGTGATCAAATAATGCAGCCTTGGTGAACAGATTTGTTTCTTAATTTGTTAAAAAACAAGCTATACAATGATATGAAAATGAATAATTAAATATAAATGAATTATTGCTTGTTATAGTGCCATTTTAGGAATACTATGCTATCTGGTTTTCTAGCCATAGTGGGAAGGTGTGTTGCTGTTCATGCTGCAGTTCACAGTTAAATACAAAAAATATTGGTTTATCAGCCTGACGATGCAGAAAACGGTACAGGCAGGAGTACGGTTACAGTAAGTTGAGTGGGTTGAATTTCATGCTGGACCATCATAATCTAAGTGAACGTACTCTAGGTCTTACCACTGTATCTCTTTCTTTCTCTGTCTCTTTCTACAGGAGGAAGGCAGTGCTGAAGATGACCGCCGCTCTCAGCCCAGGAGGTACCTGCATCTTACCTCATCTCATGCGTCAGCATGCTAAAGTCCACATTTATGTCTCTCATATTTATGAACTTCACCTTTGTTTTTGAGGAAAGCATTCATATTACTTTTTTTTTAATTCAGTTTATGATGTGCAGTATCTCCACCAGGGGGAGTATTCTGAACAGTACATGACTAAATAGTAGAACATGACTTTAATATTCAAACCCTGCCACCTTTTGAGCGTTAATGTTTGTTTCAAGTTTGGGATGGGGAACTGCGTTGTTTGATCTGCCTGTTTTGGCCAGATATAGGCTTAGTGAAGAAATTGAACTAAAGTAAGAGTGGAAATCGTTCTCTGATTTCATATGATGTCACAATCAATATTTTTTACTGAAAAATAAACAAAAAATTTGATATTAGTTTGGTATTATGTAAGTGAAACCAGGAAGATGGTGACCTGTGACTACCTTGTGTATGTGACTGTGCAGTCCAGTACACTACAATATTTGCATGAATATCAGTTTTCTGTATCTGAGGTCAGCAATATTTGTGTATTTTTTAGAGTACACACGTATGTAAGTGACATCAGACCTGTTTGTTTTGCATCTGTTTCTTGTTTTGGATTATCCAATTCTTTCACGCTATCACCGTTGTGGTTTATGCTAAATTGGACGTCAAATGCGAATCTATACATAGATTCCCAGACAAAATCTGATTTCTGCAGAATTTTAATGGCGTCATTCAAAAATCTATGCATTTTCTACACTGTGCGTGTTCATTTATTTATTTTGGCTAATTTATTGATGCTAATAAAAGCTAATAAAATTGTAGTACTCTGCTCTCTACATTTTGTTATATTTAACTCCATTTCCCCCCAAAATCAGTGCAAAAAATGAAAAGAAAAAAATATATATATCGGCTTATATTTGACTTTGAACATAGCTCATTCAGTCATTCAGTGTATGTTTTGTTAATATCTGTGTGATTCATATACTGAGTTATCACATACAGTAATGTGAAGCTTTTTTTTGCACTGATAGCAGATTTCAATTATGAATAAATCTGCTATCAGTGCAAAAACAGCAGATTGTACTTATGCAATTACATACACATACACATATTTGCTATTTTATA